TTTAAATGGAATTACTGAAATAAATCTACTTTTTCATGATATTCTAATTTTATGACCAGCACCTGTATGTGCGGCAAACTGTTGCAACCGGTGACAACCGCAAAAGTCACAATTCTGACATTTAAAATACTGTGCGGTTTTTTTCCAAAATGGATCTTATCCACACATATTTCACAAATGTGCTTTGTGTGTTTTTAATTTTTGCGGGAAAACTTTGTAGCTGCAGGAAAGGATCAAACCATATGCAAACACTAAGATACTGTGAGGGTTTAATTAAAACAAAACAAACAAAAATAAAAGGTAAAATATCAAACTTTTGAAGTGGTGGATCACCATTTGAAAGCATTTGAGTAAAAAAAAAGAAAGAAATCTTCGAACGGGTGAATAAATGTTTCTTTCATCCTTCTGTTGAAACACCGGATCACAAAGTTTCACACAATTCTCCACAGCTTCATTTCACGTTAAACAACTAAAATCACATTTTATCTTTGCCTGTACAGATTATTGTGTTTTTTTCTGAGTCACTTGTAATATGAAGTGTTTGCAGATTTTAAGGCAGAAACTGCTGAGTCAGCGTAACGGGACGCATCCTGTGTTTAGAAAACGGATGATCACCGTGGGAAAAAAATATAAAATAAAATTTAAAAAAAAGAGGAAAAGAGCCAGTCCTTGTTGCCTGTGAGGTGGGACTGAGGGATGAGGGCCGGGTGCAGGGCAGGTCTTTGGCCCCCGTTTGGCCTACAGCTGGAGGCAGATGCTGCGTCAAGGCACTAGATGTGAAGGGCCCCTGTCCCGGGGGTGGGGGCTCAAAAGTGGCCCTGAGGGGACGTTGTTGTGCTGCTGTCTGTCCGTCATTATGGCCGAAGAGCTCCCACCTGCTGCTCTGACTCCAGCTTTTCTGAAACGCACGTTAGCAAAGCATCAAATAAGAAGCAGAAACGATCGAAACCACATGAACAGGCGAGTCATAAACATCAGGACAGTCCCAGAAACAGCACGACGGACTGAAAGCTGTGACGCCGCTCGTCTTTGAAGCCGACCTGAATCACAGCTTTTGTGAGGACACAGGCGAAGAAAAAAAAAGAAGACAGAAAAGAATATAGAGAAAGCTGCAAGAGGGGAAAAGAAAGAAAGAAAGAAAGAAAGAAGCCATTTAGAGACATGAAAAGAGACCGACAGCCTCATCCTCCTGAACTGCATCTGTTTCCATTTGGCTGCTTTACGTCTAATGGACCTTTTCAGATTTTTAGTTCTTTTTTTAACAAACATGTTCTCTCTTTCCATCCTTTCAGTGGCGTTTGTCCTCTTCTAGGACAATGTGTGAAACGTGTGAGGCTTTTTAGGGCAAAATAAATGTTCTGCACACACACACACACACACACACACACACACACCTGTTTATAAGGCTGAAACATCGAGTCAGCACTGAATAAAAAGAGGGTGTATCATAGTTCACACAGCGCACTCGATTATTCATAAAATACTGCAAACTATAGCAAAAACAGATGAATCAAAACACGAAACATTTTTTGAGCGCTATATATTTCGTTGTTCAAAAAGAAAAAGAAAACAACAAAAAAAAAAGAAAATCTAAGGGTTTAATACCTTTTAACGGAGGAGCAGGAAGTTTCCTCCTCTGATGGCGCGATGAGTCCAGAGTCTCAGGCTGCGACGACAATATGACTATTAGACGTTTAAAGAAACACCGTTTAATGGTGTAAAATGTGATACAGAAAGAAGAAAAAAAATCTTACAATTTTTTTTATTCATTAGTTTAATTAACTTCAGTGCCACCAAGAGAGAAAACTGTAAACACAAGCAACACAAACGTTTGTGTTGCAGAATGAGACAGAAAAGAAAAAGACAATAAGTCACCTTAGATTTTGGTTTTAACTTGAAGCGATTGCAGACGGTCACATTTAACCCAGCTGTTTTCAAAGCTGATATCCTCGCCTCGATGTTTGAGATCTTGAAGCACAAAGAGCACAAATACAAATGTTAAAATATAAACAACAACAACAACAACAACAACAACAACAACAACAACAACAACAACAGTAGTGTTTTACACTGAACTTCAGCTTTGTTCAGACTGAATGCATAAAACTGACATATTTGAGTTTCAAAGTGTCAGACTTACTGTATTTGTAATCCTTTAAAACRTGTTAAACTCAAGGCCCRCGGGCCAAATGTGGCCMTCCACAGCATTTTATGTGGCCCATGACAGATCTGACATTTGTGGTTTTATGTGTTTTTGTTTTTTATGTAATATTCAKTGTTACTGTCCTTTTGATGAGTTTTATTGCAATTGTTATTGTTTTGTTGCAGTGCTTGCTCCAGCTTTCAGGACAAATTTCTCCCATGGGAGTCAAATAAATTATCTTATCTTATCTTATCTTATCTTATCTTATCTTATCTTATGATAGCTTCAAATTTTACATAATAATGTTTTGAAATAAGCTGCCAATAATGCATGTTGAAAATTTTACCCGCAAAATAATGACGTCTCACCACTAGGTGGCGGTGCACCGGGTTCAAAAGTAGCCGGTAGTTTGGTGAAATTAGCAGTGTGAAATATCCATGTCGCTGCATTTCCGCCGGCTACTTTTGCTGCAGCCCACTTTTACTGGGAAGTGGGAATTCCCCACTTACAAGATTTCTATTTAGACTGTGATACCCTTCCAGTGGGAATTCTCTGTGGGAAAGTGGGAGAGTTCAAAAGTCAAGATGCTTAACAGTGAGTAAAACTCTCTTTTACTTTTAATAGTATTTCCGTGTTATTTGTTTCACATTTAGTCAGTCGTAGCACTTTTCAGTGTTTATACGACGTGTTGAACGCTGTTTCTATGCAGGAAAAAAACAGGTAGAGCTCTGTTATTGTTTGTTAGCTGTTCACATTGAGACGAGGGTGACGTTTCCTGTTTAGTCTAAGTTAGTTACAACCGGCCTTTTGAGGACCATCGTAAAGCTCATGTGACCCTCGGTGAAAATGTGTTGATCTAAAGGCTTGTGGACCTCGAGGACCAGGACTGAAAACCACCGATTTAAACAAACCAAAACCCTAAAATTCGACCCATAAAAGAGTATTTTAGCACCAGCATGATTACCAACGATCTTTTCCCTGGATRTCAATTCAGAATTCCTGAAGACAAGACTTCCAGGTTCATCATCTGCTGGAGAGAAAATTAACTTTTAGGTTTCACTCTCCTTTTGTCTCCCACACGTCCACTTCACTCTTTTTTTAGGAACACATGATGTTCAGGTAGAGCTGCACAGTTAAAAAGGAGCCAAATTCTACAGAAAATTGTGCAAAAATGTCTGAAAACCTAAAAAAAAACTATTAAGTTTAATTAATAAAATGATCCCAGTTGTGTTTGATACCTGTAGTTCTGACTGCTGGACCTGAGCTGCTGCTGTGGCCACCTGGTCCTCCAGAAAAGCCAGCTGGGTGTCTGTGGTCCCACTGCTGATGCCRCGGGCGCACTGCTCCAGCTCCCCCAGAGCCCCCTCCAGTCCGTACACGACGCCAGCAGCCAGGTAGACCTGTGGGGTGAGGAAGAGGAGGAGGAGCTGAACCGCTGGCTCGCATCAGCTCAACTGAAACTACGGAGCCGAAGCCCTCTTTAGCTCACGTTCTCCTCCATCTTGGTGAGCCTCTGGTCCAGCTTGCGGGTCTCTGAGCTGCTGGAGATGGGCGAGGCGCTCATGGACTCGGACGGGGTGTAGCTCTCCCCGCCTGCCTCCCCTATCAGCTCCTCTGTGGCGTTCAGGACCTTCAGCACCTCGGTGGTGATGCTGCAGAGCGAGGCTGCCGAATACTTCTGCTGCAGACACAAACGGTCACTTTCACTTCATCAGCAGCCAAGAAATAAAAAAGGTTTTTGGTTTAAACCAGTGAGTCTCAAACGTTTTACACTGCACACCCCCCTTTATTTCCAAATTGTTCCTCAGTGAGCTTATTTCAATGTACTACATTCAAAATGAACAATACAGCTCATTTTGTGTGTTTTAAATTTAAGATAAAGTAATATGGTCACAAAAAATTATGTTCAGGTAAAAAGGGTGGAAAAAAATCAAATATTTAACAAAACAGAAAAAAGCTAATTATTAGCATCACATACAAGACATTTAATGAGGCAAAAAGACATAAAAAGATCATTAAAATATGCTTAAATTACAAAAAAGCAACAACAACAACAACAACAATAAAAAATCTACAACTACTCTGCATAAAACTTTAGTGGTGTATTATTTTGGTAGAAAAAAACATCCTTAATCCTAGAAATAAAGCAAAGATAATGTTACATATAAACCTCCAAGTGTTAATTCAACTAAATATTTAGCGCAGCTCACTGACATTGTAAAAGTCATAAAATCAAAAGAG